TCCCGCTTAACATGTTGAGACAACAAGTCGTCCATGTATCTTAAAAAGTCAACAAAAAATGGTCAACTCTATAGTGACGATATGTCGTCCCTATAGGCTGCCTATAGTGACGACTTTTGTCGCCCTATAGAGCTCGTCCCTATAGGTACTTATTCTTGTAGTGATCATTTGTAAACGAAAACATTTGTAATTTCGTCCCGTTAAAATTTCCAAAATAAAATATTCCATTTTACTAAAAGGTTTTATAAACCAAAATATGGAATTCGTGATCCCAAATTTACATATCCAAAATGTCATGAGAATGTGAAATGTCATCACAACCACTTCATGTTCTTCACTTTACTCACCTAGAGGGTCCTGAAAACACTAAGAAACAACGGTTAAACATAAAGCTTAGTGAATATACACAATACTTACTCATTATATTAATCATATATATTCACACAAACACATATTCATATAACACATGAATTCTTAGCACTACTTATTGGTACCAACTATGTTCTGTTCCTTGCTCAGGTTCCCCGCAGGGCTTCTCCTCGAAACCATTGCACGTTCACATACACAAATATAACTAACATAATAAACAAGCTAGTGTAACTCACTTGAATCAACAAATTAACTATGAAAAACTGCATGTGCTACTAAGATGAACCCCATCTCTTTGAACACCTACATTCCATACTAATAACATCTACTTAAATCATATTTCAACTATCACTTAATAATACTTTGTATTATACTTAATTTTTTACTTTTAATATTGTTACAACAATCGGTTTGTGGATCGATTTAGTTCTCTTAAACACATTTAATTTTCAAGAATGTTACTTATTAGTATATACTACTTTTTTGGCTTTTTGGGATATAAAATATGCATTCACTACTAGAAAACATCATTTTAATGACGTGCAAACAATGACACACAGTGATTTACGATACGCAAAATCGTGCACCCTAAAAATAATGTCATCTCTTCTAAAATTTGAAAGATAAAGGACACACATTTATGCGTGTCCTGAAATTAGTGTCAGAAAATAAAAAAAAGTAATACGGAGGGAACCTATCATAAAAAGCATGTCATGTAAAGGTGTTGGTTTATATTTTTTTTAATAAGGCTTGTTCTCCATATTTTTTTTGGGAAATGAAATTCCAAAAAAATTAAATACCCCGCCTGATACTCCTTCTTCTCCTTCTAAAATCCTCTTCTAAGAACCCTAAATCATTCATAGCCATTTTCCATTCCCAAAAAAATCAAACATCTCGCCTACTACGACTCCCCAAATCACCCTAAATCATAAATCCCTAAATATTAAGAACCCTAATTTGTTCTTGAGAAATGGTGCCTTAGATCAAAAACTGTGAATTCAACTTTGAATTAGTTTAGGTTCTCTCAATCAAGAACCTCTCCATTCTATAACTCAGAAAAAGCATCAACGCACGCATATTGCATCTGTGCCGGAGTCAGTCGTCCGTTATCCCATATGGTCATCGTCACAGCCTCGGGCTTTATCAACTCCTTCTGCAAGATCTTTCTCGTAAATTCTATAAATCCTAACCTTTCTATCAATCAAAAAACCGTAACCTTTCTCTCTATTCACGAGCCAGTAATCGCGACAAAGAAGATCAACAACAAAGACCAACTGGTTCGATTTCTCCCTAAAACTGGTACAACTTCTCCTAAATCCGACTTCACTCCACTCTCTGAGTTTGTTTTCTCCCTAATCGATGCATTCACCTTCTCGTCTCTCCCCCTCCATTAGGTTTTCTCTCATCTCTCTCCTCCATAGATGAATATTTTTCTTTCTTCTTTGTTCGTGCTTCCTTGTTGCAGGTGGTCTCGGTGGTGTTTGATAGTTGGAAACGAAAGCAGCAGTGAGTATACAACAGGTCTTCTATTCCAAAAAAAAAAAACTTTGCACATATGTCACACCCCGAAAACCAAAGGCGGAAACATTTCCAGGGCGGACTCCACGTTGAGTATCAAATCCAATGCAGATAGTAAGCAAAGTAGACAACCATTACATTACATATATAAAAGTTTACATTTGTTTCAAAAGTAAATTGTACAAATGTGATACATAATATATATATGAACAAAATGAGACGAGTCTTCTACGCACTCCGTCTTCGCCAAAAGAGATCGTCGGGTACCTGTCTATTGCGGACCTGAGAATACAAGCCGTTTGAAAATCAGCATAAAGCTGGTGAGTTCATAAGCGGTTAGTTTTCTGAAAATGTACGAGTTCCTTTAGTTTCCTGAAAAAGTGGTTATCCAAGAAAATCTCATATTTTCTTAAAAGTTGGTTATCAAATCCAAAATGTAATGAAAAAAAAATGTACACTAAAAATATGATTGTTCTTGTGAATTATAAAATTTAGTTATCTAAATTGTTACACGTTTCTGGTTACGTACTACTGTTACCTAGGAAAATCCTATATTTTCCTACATGTGTGTGTGTGTGAATTGTTACCGATTTTGATTATGTTCAATGTTATCCCCAGGAAAACCCCATATTTTCCTGAATGTGTGTGTGTGTGTGTGAAGTCTCCTGAAAGTCTGATTATCCTTATATGTACATTAGTTTTAACACATATATAAAACTAATAATTAAGTGTAAAGTGTTCATAATCTTGATTGTGAGTCCTTAACCATACTTCAGACTAGATATGACTCGGGCTAGGGCCAGTATCCTTTTTATGACTTTCGTCACCCTTGAACCTTTCGGTTCGGCTGTAGCTAGCAGCCAAGTGCGAGATTGTCAGTCCCGTATAGATCTATACACTCAAGTCACGTTCTCCCTCCTGGAGATTCTGGTTACATGGGTAGTCCTCCACTCTCTTGTGCCAAGGAAGTGTTACAGAGGACGTGTCTCCAATCTTTAAGATTACTCTTTACTTCTCGTGCCTAGGGGAAGTAGTATCTATGACTAACTAAGTTCTAATGGAGCCTGTCCTTTACACTCGAGCCTGGGTGGTTTATTAAGGACATTACAAATGTTTTATGTTTTCTAATGGTGTCTGTCCTTTACACTCGAGCCTAACAAATGTTTTATGTTTTCTAATGGTGTCTGTCTTTTACACTCGAGCCTAGGGTGTTTTATTATAGACATTACAAATGTTTTATGATCTCTATCAATATAAGTGTGAACAATCAATTGAGAAACATAACAGTATATAATAATAAGAATTGAAATCGTTTGACCAAACAACTCTGCAAGTTAAAACAGTTTGTTAGTAGGTTTTCAATTCTTAAAAGTGTGAGAATTATGAAACCATTTAAATGAAATAATGAATTTAAGTACAAGATATTCTTGTACTTTTGCTTGTATTCCCCCCCCCCCCCTGAAAACATTTAAAAACCATTGAAAAAGGGTAGGGGTATGAACTCACCAGACGAGAAAACATGACGGTTTGGATGCTATGTGTCGATTCGAGGCTTGATAACGCGCGAGGTTCCTATGTAATATGAAATGGTATACAAATGTATCTAATTAGACTTTAAAACACTAATTAGATATGATAATACACTCCAATGAGCGAAAACACTTTAAATCAAGCGTTTGGAGCGACCCAGGTGACATCTACAGACGTATGGGACTTAGGAAATGGGTTTACTCTTCAAGAGTAAACTCCTTAGGGATTTTTCGGCCTTATACACTACTCACACATAAGTTCACATCCGTGAACTCATGTTGGCAAGGTTTATGGTGCTTAATGGTCCAATAACACTTGAGGGATGATTGGTATGAATTTATCTAAGGCATGGAAGTGGATTAAATCACCAAGAATACCATTTAGGGGAGTTTACGGCCCTAAACATGGAGTTTATGGCCGTAAGCTCCTATACCCCTTAGATTGATGATTTAATTGCCTTAGATTAATCACATGTGATTCCAACAATTTTTACAAGCCTTGGTATGAATTTAGGGCACCATTTTACATGTTTTTATGAGTTTACGGCCCTGGAACTATTTCTTGGGAAGTTTTGGCCGTAAACTCCTAAATAGGATGATTTCATCATGTTTAAGGTGCACAAACTAATTTTGGTTGGTTCTAGGATTTATTCCAAGGCTATTGGTGAGTTTACATGGCTTTTTAACACTAGAAAATGAGTTTACTCCCCATGAATGAGGAGTTTACGGCCCAAGCATGCTCTTGGGCAGTAAAATCATATTTACTCTTCAAAATCCATGTTTAAGGCATTCCAAGTCCATTCCATGAAGTCATCTAGCCATATCTAAGGTCTAATTGTGGTTTGGAAGGGTTTTGTTTCTCAAAAACCCCATTTATATGAGTTTACGGCCAAGGACTGTTCTAGGGCTGTAAAATCATGATAATGGTCCTAATCCATGGTTTAAACTCGAATTTGAGGGCTATAGGGGTTGTATAACAAGTTAGGGAAGTTACCTCAAAGATATGGGGCCTTTATTCTATGTTTTTGGACCTTGAATCTTGTTTGAGGAGAGAAGTTAGAGAGAGAGAGAGAGATTTGTGAGAGAGGGAAAAAGCTTCAAATGGAAGCTTAAATTCCTTTAAATAGTTTCGAAGTTTTGGACACGGTGGAATTCTACCCGATCCCGGTGTTAGACGGGGCTTTTTGTCGCACCTGATCTAGTTACCGTAACTCGATATGGTTGATTCTAGAAATGCTCCGATCACTAATATGGGGTGTTAGAATGAGTTCTAAAGGTATTAGGACACCCATTAAGTCATAATATAAAATACACATTAATGACTTAATTAAATAACGGAATCCATAACTAAATTGGAAACGATGATTGGATTATCAAAATGAGTTATGAAAAGGGTTACAAGCAGTGATACAAATTTCGGGTTGTTACAACGTAATAAAGAAGGTTAATTCCACATAAAGGATGGAGCCAGAAGATGTGGGTGATAAAAAAACGCAATCATTGGAGCCAGAAGATGTCTCTATGGATCAAGGTTTTATTTTCAATGAGAGAGGATGCACAACATTGCATTTGGATTTTTAGGATATGGACATAGATGTCGATAGAGCTCCTGATACTCAAAAGATTGTTGAATCATCTTTGTCTGTTGAAGTTTATGAAGAGGCTATTGTGATGGCTCAAGGATATGAACCTAATATGGCCATTCTACCTGATGCTGGTATGTATAAGATTTACTATTGTACATTATCTAGTTTTCTATTGTGATGAAAGCTAGATAAAGTATTTTTCAAAGGTTCTTACATAGTTACATTTTCAGAGGTGGAGTTTAAAGGTTGTAAAGGGGTATTAATTACTTAGGTTATGTATTTTGACTATTTGGAAAGAGTTCTTTCTTGGCTGTATATTACATTTAATGATGTTAGGAACTTGGTTTTGACTATTTGAGAGACAATCTAGCTGGCAGTAGTGGACAACTTGTTATGAGATGGTATTACCACATTTTTCAAACTAATACTAATTACTAAGGCAGATTTCATTTGAAGTGTCTCTTGGATTAATAATAGCATAATGTTTATCAGGCCAAAACCATTCCATTTTGCAATAGATGATAAAGTTGATTATGTCCTAATTGATGAGGGAAGAAACCCATTCCTAATAAGTGGTGAGGTATGTATTCTTACTTTGAGTGTTGTACGGATAAATGATGTTTAAATAATATTTAGGAAAGTAAACAAAAGGAACTAGTTACTTAAAAGCTTTGATATTTTGATATGCATATCATTCTTAGGCTAGCAAGGATGTTGCACGTTACCTAGTTGCTGCTAAAGTAGTTGAGCTTGTCATGCGTGGCCTCGTATTTTACTTTTTTCCCCTTCTTTTTTCCTTTTTGATGTCTTGTTATCCATCTCCATTGTATGAGTATCTCACTGTTTGTTCCACTACATAGCATTACAATATACAACAAAAGATCTATAGGACGAGAATGATCCTTGGGCTAGGTAACTTTAATTTTATCATATTCTTATTTTCATATGTTATAGTTTAGATTCTTATCATTAATATATATTGTAGATTTGTCATGAATGCTTTGAAAGCCAAGGAGTTCTATCGCCATGATGTCCAGTACATTGTTAAAAATGGGAAAGCTCTTATAATAAACGAACAGGCTGTAAATTAATGATAATTTTTAATTATTTAAAGGCAAAAGAAGGCTTACCAATCCAGGTATATATTGATTTTTGATGATGGTCATATGTGGTATGCCACATCATCATTCTTTTGATAACTCTTGTTTAATTAAAGCTATTAACTTGTATTTCTCTTGGACTTTGTAGGTTGATTCAGTTGTAGTGGCGCAAATCATGTACCAATCAATGTTTAAGCTCTATCCAAAGCTTTTGGGGATGACCGGGACCGCAAAAACTGAAGTATTCACATTCTATGAATTACATATGGGGTAAATGCAATTGCAAGAAGTAACAAAAAACTTTCATCCATATGGTTGTTATAACTTCCTACATTCATTTCTTTCTACCATATTAGCATACTCTCTAAAAAAATATCTTTCATAAGGCACTGTACTATGAAAACCATACTAGGTTACAATTATAGTTGTATGCTTTCAATTTATTTTTCTTATTAGGACGTTGTACTTTAAATGAAAGTATTTGCACCTGCTCCTATTGGATTCAGAAAAGGTACACTAGTAGCTACACCTCTTATTAAGAACTCTATAAAACTGTTTTTGTTTTTCTTTTCCTTTACACCCCTAATTACTTTCCTAAAGTTGAATTGGTGTGTTTGTTACTATAGGTAATACTTGAAACTATCATTGCTGAAACATCAGTAACAATACCTGGAATTAAGTATGTGATTGATCCTGGATTGGTTAAAGTGAGGAGTTACTCTCCTGATAGTGGCATTGAGTCTCTAGTTGTTGTTAAAACTTCAAAAGCTCAAGCTCTTCAAAGGAGGTAAGCAAATTGATTTCACATCTACATCTACAAGGACCAAATATAAAGCCATGTTTGATTCATTAAACTAAGTGTCAAGTCAAACATTTCTTTTTTATTTTGAGATGACAGGGAATATAATAAAATAAGATGGAAATGTGATTCAATTTTTTTTTTATAATGTTGCAGTGGGCGTGCAGGCGTGAAGGAGATGAGAAATGCTTCCTTCTTTATCCAGAGAGCGGATTTGAGGGACATGATGATTCCATAATACCAAAGATCAAAAGAGGCAACCTTTCTAGTGTTATTTTCCAGCTTAATGCTCTTGGTGTTGATGATATACTTGGATTTGACATCATGGAGAAACCCGATAGGTAAATATAATGCTATATTTTTTCTATGAAAGTAGGTTCATGAACAAGTGAAAGTGCATACTAGTATTGTTTTATTTAGTTAAGTTACCTTTAGCACCAAGCAATATTGTTCCTTTATTTTTTCTTGGTTCCGCTGTTCTCGTCCATCTTTTCTTCTCCCCTATTTCTTCTATTTTCCTTGGTGACTAACTTTCTTTTATGGTATATCTAACTTTCTTTTTTTATGAAAACTTTCTTTTTATGACTCTTTCAATTATTACTTTTTGATATTTTATGGTGTATCTAACTTTCTTTTTTCCTATGCTTCTGCTAGGAACCTAGGAATTTTGTTATTACCTTTCCTAGATCTTATTTTATGAAAACTTAATAGATAATGAACAACAAAGTTACATGAAGCCATTAATAAAAGATGAAGAACAGGAAGCTGAAAGCAATGATACTGATAAGTCACATGAAGCCATTAATTTGCGCGTCGTCTGAGCGTTTTACGACACGCATTGCGCGTCGTAAAAGGCTGTTTTTCTAGTAGTGCATTATAATGATTTTTCTACATTATTCTATAATTTTTACAAGTTTTTTATAATAGAATTGGTAAACAATATTGTAACGACCCAAAAATCATGACTAAAAATTTCATTTTTAAAACGTTACTTAAACCATATTCATCAATCCATAAAATAATTCTTAACATAAAATCAGAATGTTAAATCAAACATATTCTTAATATCAGAGTAAAACATCCCAGGCTGACTAAACAATGGTGTGTGCCATGCGATCACCCTGAGCTCTTCCCTCTACTACCGAAAGTACCTGAAACCAAAACTGAAAACCGTAAGCACGCAACTTAGTGAGTTCCCCAACCTACCACATACCATACACATAATCACATACTGGGCCTCGCCCCTTCTGCCTTGGGTCTATCCCGGAATCGGACTCGCTCCGGCATCGGTCCTCGCCCGGCATCGAGCCTTGCTCGGTATACAGATCTGTTTTACTTTAGGCCCCACCTGTCTCTAGGCCCCGTCCGCTAACGCATGCAAACATATAACCATAGCACATAGCACATAAACTGAACATACTCTACTGCATTACTTCCCTAAGGCCTCGTCTATCTTAGGCCCCACCCCTGTCCTGCTACTATTGAGTCATGGAACCCCGTCCACACTCCTGCTGATAGTGAGATACGGTCCCCCGCCCACACTCACTACTTTCCTAACTCGGGCCTCGCCCCTGCTCTACTACTAATGAGATATGGAACCCCGTCCATACTATGCTAATAGTGGGATGCGGGAGCTCACTCACACTCACCTCCTTACCAGGCACATACAAGTATCACACAGACAATGAGTAGAATCTAACATGCAACTTTCCTCGGACTTACCCCGGCATCGGATCTTGATCTGGAATAACTGACACATAAACCTTCCTGATCAGGCACCCGCCCGGCATCAGACTTTGGTCCGGAATAACATACTAGCATACAGTGCCTAGGGCTATCCCCCGGTTCTTCCTACTCATAACTACATATGCCAACATTGTGGCCGTAGACCCATTCACACAAAGGGAAACTTACCTGCACTGCTGAACTTTGTTGATAACCCTTTAGCTGCTAACTAAAGTTTTCCCCAACTGCTGCTCCCTCAGATCCCTGAGCTACCAAGATCAAATAACACTTAGCTCAATGCAATAGTCCTTCTTAGGGTAAAATAACCATTTTACCCCTATCCCTAAGATGGTCCATAACTGAGGCCCAAACATAATATAAAAGGCCCAACACTAGATATGCTTCCCAAGCCACTATTGACCCATAATCACTGACTCTTGATGGTCCACTAAGGCCCAAAGGCCTATAGTCCAAAGCACAGCCCACACTGAGGCCCAAATGCTTGAAACCCAACTGGAAGAGTTACGCGGGGCGTACTCCAATGTACGCTTAGTGTACATGCTTGATGACGAGTACGTTGGGCGTAACTGCATGTAGGCTCAACGTAGCACCCTGTTAAGCCATCTTTCCATTAAGTGCTTAATACTCCGATTCAGAGGCTACAAACTCAGATCCATGTCCTATTTCATGTATTAAACCATAAAGTTGCTTACTTTATGGCTTCCATGACTCTCATAAGCTCCAACTCCAAAAACCATAATCTATTTCCATGGGAAAAGGTCTTAACTCATGCATGAACTCATTTGGACCATCAAGATATCAACTTTCTGTTCTAGGGAGTCATTTAGCATTAAGGGAAGGAACCCTTGGTCTGGAAATCGGATTTAAGCCATAAGGATTTCACCTTTGGACCAAAAACTAACCCATACTAGATCTAAGCACCCTTAAGTAAATTTGTGAGCTTTATACCTTCAAAGTGTTCCAGAAGATGATGTTATCTCAGATCTATAAGCTCTAGCCTCCAAGGTTCCTCCTTGCCACTCTTCTTCTTTTCTCTTCTAAGCTTTAAACCACCAAACTAAGCTTCCCAAGGTCAAGATCTCACAAAATGAAGGGTTGGGGTGTTCTAGGGTTTTTCTAAAGTTGGGGTGGCTGGTAAGGGGCTAGGGTTGAAGGCAATATGTTCTTTATATAGTGGCACCCCCTAAAAATAGGGTTTTGAGACTCTGGGCATACCCTGGGGGTACACCTCTCCGCACCTGTGATCATTCACTTCACTACGCTGGGCATAACCCAGCTTACGCTGGGCGTACCCACGCATGTTCCAAAAATGCATGCATGGCCTTCCATGCGAACTTTTCTCCACAAGGGCAATTATTGCCAATATCTTCAATGTGTCATAACTCCTTCGTTCTAGATCTTTTTCCGATGAACCTAATTTCTACGGAAAGGTGGCGAGAAGCCCTACGCTTCTAACAGCACACCCGACCTGAAACCTTCTTGAATAAAACTCGAAACCCATAAATGACCAAAACGCGCCTAGCCTTGACTTCTGGATCCATGAATAAATGCTTTTCCGAATAGGGTGTTACAACTATATGGATCAACCTGTAAAGATGGTCACCAAAACCCAAAAAGGATTAGGGATCATTCATTTTAAAACATATTGTAAATTAAACTTCTTCATCTAAACTCAATCTAAGACCACATGCCAATTGGATTTTTCTAAAATTAATCACACATTTTACAAAATGGTTATTATAAACAACCATCCACCTAGACCACTCTACAAAGAATACCAATTCTATCAAACTTAGGAATTGAATAAAGCTAAGGCCTTTTGAGGAACAAAACTAGACGTTCATACATAGTTATATCCTAAAACCTCATGTAAATTATAGTTCCCTATATTTAATTATGACTTTTATAAAATTAGTAATGTGATCAGTTAATTTTCCAGACCATTTTGCATAGGATGAAAACATTTTACATTTTTGTATAAAACCATATCAAACCCTTTAGATAGATAAAACTATACATCCATACATTTTAAGGGATACCAATTTCATGCAATTAAGATATTCCAATAATTTTATATGATTTCTCAAAGATAGGGGACATATTTATGAAATCACAATATCACCAAGTTTGAGTCCCCCTTTCATCCTACTTATTAAACACTAAACTATTAAGCTCATACCATTGAGTTCAATGAGATACAAGTACTAAAAATCCATATTTAGTGATGTAATAAGATCATCTTAATGTATTAAGAGTTTGACCTAAAATCAATCATTCAAGTTACATTATTTCTGAAACATCCAAAAATTATAACCCAAAAGTTTCATTTTTGATTAAAGTAAAAACAGTTTTCCAAAACATTGTTCATACATCCCAATAGAATAAATATATCAAATATCATCAAAATCATAATATGTCCCATAACAGAATACAAATGGAGTGTCCGATGCAATCAACCCAAGCTCTTCCCCTTGGAACTGGAAGTACCTAAAACATAACCTAAAACCGTAAGCAAAAAGCTTAGCGAGTTCCCCGAACTACCGCATACCATACATACAATAATCATATAACAAGCCCTGCACTATCATCTGACCATGCCCGACATCGGACCCCATCCGACATTAGGCCCCGCCCGACATTGAGCCCCACTAGGAAATTAATCTGGTACTGCCCAACATACATATAACATATATATATATATATATATATATATATATATATATATATATATATTATAATCACATACACATGAAATAATCACAAAGATACATAGCATACAAATGGTCATCGGGCCCTATCCCGACAACATATAAACACATACACATGAAAAACTCACGAAAACAACTAGCATACTTACATAGCATAAACATGGATCGACATTGGTGCCTTCGACCCGCAAAACCCAGTGAGCAAGCTCACCTCAAATGTTGAACGATAGCTGAATAGGTCTCGACTCTAAATATCAGCTCTACCTAACCACAAATAGTGTCATGGTAACACCCATGGATGACATACAGGTCATTGGTCAACATTGTAGTTGCTAGTAGTGTCATTGTAACACCCATGGATGACATACGGGTCATTGGTCAAGTTGATAGTTGCTTATAGTGTCATGGTATACCCATGGATGATATACGAGTCATTGGTCAATATGGTAGTTGCTTATAGTGTCATGGTAACACCCATGGATGACATATGGGTCATTGGTCAACATGGTAGTATCTTATAGTGTCATGGTAACATCCATGGATGAAATATGGGTCATTGGTCAACATGGTAGTTGCTTATAGTGTCATGGTAAAACCTATGGATGACATACAGGTCATTGGTCAAGTTGATAGTTGCTTATAGTGTAATGGTATACCCATGGATGATATATGGGTCATTGGTCAACATGGTAGGTTATTATAATGTCATGGTAACACCCATGGATGACATATGGGTCATTGGTCAACATGGTAGTTTCTTATAGTTTCATGGTAACACCCATGGATGACATACAGGTCATTGGTCAACATGGTAGTTGCTTATAGTGTCATGGTAACACCCATAGATGACATATGGGTCAATGGTCAAGTTGATAGTTACTTATAGTGTCA